ATGCAGCTCTGGCTGTAAAAGTCTGCCTCACTGGGAGAATATTCCTGAGAAGCCGATCCTGTTGGGAGCTCCCCAGCAGCTCACAGGTAGTTGGATCTTGCCTGCCTGAAGAGGTTCTACTGTACAAAGTAATTAGTTGTAAAAACTTGTTAATTAACTCTATTATTTTATTCATCACTTACGTGAAAGAGTAATGAGTTACTGTTAAAATTAACATTTAGTTATTTTTTTAAATAAACATTTCAGGCAATAATGTCCTTAAAACTTAAGCTTTGTGTTGTGGTTTTTCCGTTAAACTATTTGCAATGCTGCTGTGTTTCCTGTTACAAATATCATCCAGATTGACAGACAATCTAAATGTTGTGTTGTTAGTGTGTAGCTGAAGGTTCCTGCTCTGACAGAATTACAGCAGTCTCTTTTCCACCTTTGTTAAGTCAGTATAAATTTGTTACATTTGCTGCACTGGCAATGTTCATATCCCAAATAATATTATAGAATATTTCAGGAGTTAATGAATTGTACCCAGGTGTCCCCAGGCGGTCTCCTGTCCAAGGGCTGCTCAGTGGTTCAGTGGGTAGCACTGCTGCCTTGCAGCAAGAAGATTCTGGGTTCAATTCCTGGCCCAGGGTCTTTCTGCATGGAGTTTGCATGTTCTCCCTGAGCATGCGTGGGTTCTCTCCGGGTACTCCAGCTTCCTCCCACAGTCCAACAATGACTGTTAGGTTAATTGGCTTCTCTAAATTCTCCTTAGGTGTGTGCGTGAAGGGTTGTTTGTCTCTGTGTTGCACTGCGATGGACTGGTGGACCCCGCCTCTCGCCCGTAGACAGCTGGAGATAGGCACCAGCAGCCCTTGTGACCCTGCTTGGGATAAATGGGATGGAAAATGGATGGATGAATTGTACCTGAGATTTCCTGGACTTGCATTAAATTAATATTTCTTCTCCTGATCATCTTTTTAACCACATTCTATAGTTATCCTTTGGATCAGCTGATCCAAAATGCTGCAGCCAGAGTTCTGGTGAAAATAAAAAATAGAGATCATATCTCTCCTATCCTGGCTTCTCTTCATTGGCTTCCTGTTAAATCCAGAATAGAATTTAAAATCCTCCTTCTCACATATAAATCAGAGATCTGATTGTTCCTTATGTTCCTAACAGAGCACTTCGCTCTCAATCTGCAGGTTTACTAGTGGTTCCTAGAATTTCTAAAAGCAGAATGGGAGGCAGATCTTTTAGTTATCAGGCTTATCTCCTGTGGAACCAAATACCAGTTTTAGTCCGTGAGGCAGACACCCTGTCTACTTTTAAGACTAGGCTTAAAACTTTCTTTTTGATAAAGCTGATAGTTAAAGTGGCTCAGGTTATCCTGAGCTATCTCTATAGTTATGCTGCTATAGGCTTAGACTGCTGGAAGTTTTTTCCTGATCAAAGGGAGTTTTTCCTCTCCACTGTCGCTACAAGCATGCTTAGTGTGAGGGATTGCATTCGAGTCAATGAGTCAATGCAATCAACTGGTTTTCCTCAGATAGAAAACTTTGAATCAATCTGACTGTATGGTCTGGTGAACGGTAAAGTGCCTTGAAGTGACATGTGTTGTGAATTGGTGCTATATAGAAAAAATGAATTTAATGGAATTGAACACAGTTCTAAAGAACTTTGAGGTTTGGTTGATTTTGGCTCCCCCAGTGGAAAGAAGCTGTATTATAAGGAAGACAGCATTTTCCATACGGAGTGGCACATTACGTGTTAAAATCTCAGGCCGCCTTCAGTTGGATTGAACTACTTTTCTGTTTCCAGGGGCTGTAAAAGATGATGATTGAAAATAAGAAACATTTAACTTTGGTTTGTACTGTATTCCTATACTCGTGTGTCTCAGAATAAGAAAGGAGGAAGCGAGGTTTCCTTAATCCCTTCCACCCAGTCTATCGGGCTTTCCTTGGGTTAACAAAGTCCTCTCTGATGCACATTGTTTCAGCTCCCTTGCTGCTACTCCACAGTAAAGGTGGGAATCACCATGGTAACCACATTTTCTAAGAGTGACAATCTTGGATTACTCTGCAGCTTCTCTCTGATGTTTATCCCTCATGGATGCCCCACAGACCCTGTAAGGTCTCAACCGTCATGTTTTATCTGGTCACAGTTTAGGGGTTTGAGAAGCATGTGAAAAAGGCCCTTCAGAGTCCAGTAAACCGGATACACAATTTCAATTAGAATTTTCCACATTATACTATCTTTAGCATTAATCCCACTATAGATTTTTTAAAGATGGTCCCAAAGCAGATGAGAGTCACGGTGTGGTAGACAGACAAGAAACAAAATGTTATTTTTCTTTAATCAGGCTTGTTCTGCAGCAGCTTAACCCTCAAAGCTTCAGGGTGGATCTGTGGCTTCTTATCCAGCCTCTTGAATAACCTCAGTCTGCTTCTGCTGGGTTGGAGCAGCGTTTGACTGCAGAGCTGCTCCACTTTTACTAACATCTATTCAACAAGGATTGAAAACGTACGTTGGATCCTGCATATCAATGCACTGGAGACTAGTCTACTTTCAAAGTCACTGAAATCTTCTTTCTTCCTCTTTCTTAGGCTCAGTTTGAGCTCCAACAAGTGTTCACCACTGCATTTACTCTGAAGCAGAGTTGCTGCCATGTGATTGGCTGTATCTGTTAATAAGCACTTGAAATGGTTACTAATAAAGACAGTCTGATTGTCTTTCATTGGACTCGGTGGACAGATTTAGTTTTCATTTCTTCAAACTGGATTAGTCCTGGTTTAAAAAAAGGTGAATTTCCAACATGCGGTTGAGTGCTAAATTATGCATCATCCATTTACAGTGAGAATTTACCACAAGATTTAAAGCTTTGCTAAATATGAATCGCTTGCATTCAGTTCCTTCCTCAGCTTGTCATATTGATGGAGTTTAACTTGAGTTTTTTTCAGTCTGAACAGATATTCTACATTCAGCAGCAAGAGAGCTGAATTAGTACGTAGCATTCTTTAAGCATCTAAACAGGAGGAACTTCGCTCCCAACCTGATAACAAATCAGCAGGATCTCAGGAATATCTCCTCAGACGGATTTCCAAGAAGTGGCAGCTCTTTGGAGGTTTGGTATTCCACTCAGGCTGTAGGCCACCAGTCTACGTTCCCAGTTCACCAAAGAATGTTTTTCTTTTTAGCCTGGTTGATGATTTTCTTTATTCGGACCCTGGGGATTTTTAATTGGTCACCCCTGGTATAGAATGACATCATGAGATACTATTCCTCTGTCGCTGCTGCAACGTTTCACTAGCTTCAGTTGCTGTAGCAGTATTCAGTATACAGTACATGGTGGAACACAGTTTACCTTCTGCAGCATGTTTTTTTCTGCACCACTGCAATGCAAAGATTCCCAGTAGTTTGTCTGTGTGAATTAACCGGCAGTTTTAATCCTCTGTCTTTAAAGGGAATTTAATGGACCATAATTCATCAACAGATTGTTTTATGAGGTTTAAGTGAGGATTATTAGTTTAAGCTGGAAGAAAAACCCAAAAGTAATTGCTGTAACTGCACCATCAATGACTGCAAGGATTAGAATAGTTAATAAGATTCCAATAAAGTTAAAAAAAACAATTTGCTGGACTTTGTTTCCAAGTTTGAAGACGTTTCGCTTACCATCCAGGGAGCTTTTTTAATTCAAAATGTCAGGAATAGCGTAGAGTTTGAAGCTTTATAGAATAGCCCAGAACAAAGCCTTGTTCTGGCTTAGAAAACATGCAAATCGGACCAGAAGAACAGGTCCACCCCTTAGGAATGAGGAGTCCCTTGGGTTCTTTGTTAACCTGCAAATCCTAATACTGGTCTATGCCTCTGAAAGGGGTCATTAGAGGCATTGTTAGTAGGATATTCCACACTAAGTACCAACGCAGGTAAATCCTGTATTCCAAACAGCTTTGCTGCCCTTGATGGAAACACTTGAGGCCAGGAAGATTGTTGCGGGTTACTGTGGTGAAAAGAGAGATAAGAGTTGGAAAATATATCAATCAATGGTAAAGCAATGAACTGTTATCCTGATAGTTTGCAGCCCTGGTGAGAGGGCGACCTTACTTTACACTAGAGATACGGGATTAAACTGGATGTAAGCAACATTCTCTTTTTTTCCTCTCTGTTTTTGTTTCTGCAGGTTTTCTGGGCTCTCTGAGGATCCTGACTTCCCTGTGTTACTCCGGGATCTTAAAGAAGAGGCAGAGCTAATCCTGTCCCTGTAGAGGTGACTTAGAAAGGGTCAACAGCTGGCATAAAGTGGACACTACTCTCAGATTAGATTTTTAACAGATTAGATTCACCTGAAGCACAGCGGCCAATTGGCAGCCTCGCCACCACACACAGCTGGAGAAAACAATTAAATTAGTGCACTGAACAAAGCTTAGCACACATAAAGCACAAACACGCTGTGCTGCTGACGGCTAAAGGACAGATGCTGCCCCCTCCCTGCCTCTCATCATCCTCTCAAATCCAGCTGGAGGGAAGATGAGATTTGGGCCGTTTGTTTGTAACTGAAGAATCAGACCCGTCCATCTGATACACGCCTGTAGTCAGCATGATTGATTCTTATCTCTGTGCTCTTTAGCCCCACCCTCCACCCCCATGGAGACACACATGAAGTAAAAGGACTTTGCAGGAAAGAATCTGAAGTTGGGAAGCGATTGGAAGTAAACGATAGCCCCGCAGATGGTCTCAGCGCAGAGGAGGGGTGGATGTAGACATGGACTGAAGGGGGGGTCAAAAACCAAACGAGTAGGAACACTAAAGGAAGAGGAAGGACCTCCTCCCCTCTGCTGCGCCTCCCTCTCTCCTCTGCTCTAACAGCTTTCCTTGGCTTCAGTGCTTCAGTGCAGAGAGGAGACGGCAGCAAAGCGAGGAGCCGATGAAACCAGGACAGAGCCTCTGCATTCTCACGCTGCTTCTAATCCTGAATCGGACCCAGGAAGGGGGGGGGGGGGGGGGGGTTTAAAGTGAAATAAAGCGCAGAGGAGAGCACATGGAAGGACTTTGGATGCAGTCGGGTTTCAGCTGCGTGTGATTCAGCGAGGCGGGGGTGGGAAGGAGCATCTCTCCATCCATCTTCGGCCCCCGTCTGCTCCTCTCAGTCTCCAAACGTCCTCAGCCGTCGGACCGGGTACGGTGGCAGGCCCAGGGGTGGGGGCATGGCCGTGGGGGGGCCGCATCCCGTCCTCCACGCTCCACCGCGACAGAGGCTTTGGCTGGAGGTCCTGGATCTGGGGGCCCCCCAGAGCAGCCCCCAGACTCTCAGACGTCCGCCCCTGGATGAGCGGAGGGGTGGCGGGGGGAGGCATAGTTGGGGGGGGCGCAGGGGACAGAGGGGGAAAAGTGAGATGTTCCCGCAGACTTTGGCTTCTCCTGGGAACGCTGGCCCTCGTCTTCCTCACCTCGCTCTTCTTGTCCGTGTCGTTGCGTGGGGGCGTCGGCTTTAACTACCTGGAGGCGCCCGGGTGGGAGGAGTCCAGGCGGGTGAAGCTGGTGCCCAGCTACGTGGGTGCCCACCGGCTGCACCCCCCAGAAGCGCCCCTGCAGAGAACATGTGCCTGCCCTCGCTGCGTCGGAGACCCCGGAGTCTCTGACTGGTTCGATGACAACTATGACCCGGATATTTCTCCAGTCTGGACCAGAGACAACATCCAGCTGCCCCCAGATGTCTACTACTGGTGGGTGGTGAGTAACTGCAGCTTTTCTTTATGCAGAAGTTTCATCTGAAAGCCCAGTAGGAAAGTTCAACCTAATAATAACGAAGAATGTGTGACTTAGAGCTTCTCTGAGTAATTGAAGTTTTCTTCTGACTAGGGATTTTCCTCCAGAGAATTTATTGTCATATTGATGATAACTGTAAAATTGTCTCTACTTTGTAAATCGCTTTGGGTAAAAGCGTCTGCTAAATGCATAAACAGTAAAAGTTTTCATGCTGGGAATAATGAATTCTGCAGAAGCTTGATCCTCCTCACTAACTGGCTCTGTCCCTGAGATATCCGTCCCTTTATTAGGGATGTAACAACAGTGTCAATAACAACTGAAAAAAAATGTGGATCCAATTTTTAGGACAGTGAATGTGCATAAATATATTTTTTAAAATGTTAAATAGGCATCTGCCTTCAATAGCCATGTTTGATGGATGATTCCAAAGGGTGAGATGCTAACGCTCACACTGATCGTTGGTGATATGATGAAGAAGAGCAAAGCTAAAACCAGAACCAGTATCATCATTGAATTATTTCCCGTTATTATTGCAATTGGATGTTTTTTCTGATACTAGGAGCTTAACCACATTTAGCCTACACCCCAGACTTTTTAAAGGAAAAGTCCGGTCAGCATAGAATAACCAATGGGTCATTATTTACACCTCAAACTAATACATTCTAATATTTTTTTAATGTGATCACCGAGTCTGGGAGCGGCCATTTCTGCCCAAATATAGTGACACCTCACTCCTGCCATCTTCCAGCAGTGACGTCACGGTGCGGTAAGCCTAGCGCCATTCTCCCCGCTTTACAAGCAAAATCAATGGGAACTACTTGACACATCTGCAATCAACACAATTATTGAAGATTTCCAGAGGACTTCACCATTGAAATTCACCAGAGCTATAGTGAAACTGACAATGCCCATGTGCATGGCAGCTGGATGTTGGAATACATTGTAAAAGTGGAAAAAAAAAGTTATTTCACCTTTCGGATTCATGATCCTCCACGGACGGGTTACTGCTGGTCCTGATCGTCTAATTGCCAACTTGAAGAGGGAGGATTTGCCATCAAACTTCTGGCCAGAGGTAAAACACGTCATTAACCCGTTACTCCCCGCTTCTCATAGTGCATATTTCTGCTCTGAGAAGGTTGCAAGTACCTGGTTTGAACCACACAGCCTGTACTCTGGGTTCCTGAGCAAGACCCTTAACCCCACACTAATCCAGGGCGCCGCACAGTGGCGGCCCACTGCTCCCCAAGGGGATGGGTTAAATGCAGATGTAAATTTCTAGAGTGTGAGATCAATAAAGTTCAATTACGATGTTGTGATTGATATTAATATGGAAAAATGGAAATGGGTCAAAAACTCTGCCTTGTGGAACACCCCTTTGGACTTATTGCAAGATAAACTGCCTGAGTTTTGCCTAATTTAGCGTGAGGAGTGAGTGGAGGTGAATCCAGACATTGGGTCAGGGTGGAGTTGAGAAAAAGGTTAACTTTCCAGGTTTTATGATTGATATTTTATCTTTGAAGTCCACTCTTGTTATTTTATCTTTTTCAATCTTTTTATTGTACCATTTGAGGTCCGTACACGTCAAGTCCTTTACAAAAAGTATTTATCATTATTATGATTGTCAGTACATTTTACAGAAATACATATTATTTGTGTTGGAGCAATGGAAGGGGAGCATTAATCTGAACCCATGGCCCCCCTTTTAAATCACCCTCTGCTGAGGGTGTAGAGCTGATCCACTGTTCGATGGGTGGAACTAAAACTGCACCAGTCGTCCCAAAGCAATGATTCAACATCCTACTGGATTCTCCAGCACAGGCTTCATCAGGGAGGCTTAAAGGCTGATTTATACTCAGAAACCAGGTCGTCCGCCCCTTCCAGACACTCTGCTGCACCTCTCAAAAATTGTAGGTGACCGCAGACAGTGCCACAGATAGGAGGGAGGCCTCTGATTGGTCAACTCTACATCTGCTCTACTCTATGCATATTTCCTGTCTGGTACTTTACAGGCTTGTTTTTTTTTTTTGTATGACCGCCATTGTGGAAAACAACTCGTGAAGATGGACCAGCTAGAAGAGCGAGATGCGCGAGAATGTTGGGACCCATGGATCCCCGCTCTTTTTCACCCTTATGTCCCTTGGTTGTCACACAAACTTGTCCCCACTTCCTCACTGCCTGGGTTGCATCTAGATCCACAGCTAGTTCCTGATTGTCCTTTTTGCTTTGTGGCGTGGAATAACAGCGCAGACCACGCTTCAATATTGGGCATAAATAAAAAAATATCTGCAAAAAGCTCACTGCAACGGGAGTATAACCAGCCCTTAAGGGCTTGTTGCAGGTATGATGCAGATATTTTGATTAATGCCCAATTTTAAAGTGTGGTCTGCGCTATGTTATTCCACGCCACAACACAAGGGGGACAATAACAAACTACCTAGGATTGTGGGTGTCCATGTGTCGGTTTGACGTGCTTGTTCGCCGCCAACCCCTCATCCTACGCCAGAAGACACACAGTTCACCTGTGAGTGTTTCTGAAAGACTGTCCGTGGCGCTGCGTGTTTTGGCTTCGGGTGCAAACCAACAGACCGTCGCACAGAGCTACAAACTAGTGCCCTTGCATGGTGTCTGGAATAGTGTCCGAGGGGTGTCAGGCATTGTGAACGGCTCTACAGCCAGAGTTGATGCCATTAGGTACCAAATAGGAAATATATATAGTGTAAAGTGGATGTGGAATTGACCAATCACAGACCTCCTTTCTCTCCTCCCTGCGACCCTATCTGCGGCACTGTCTGCAGTCACCTACAATTTTGTGGAGGTGCACCACAGTGTCTGCGTTAACTGCGACACACATGCAGACGACCTGGTTTCTGAGTATAAACCAGGCTTTAGAAATATGATCCACCTGTAGCTGGAACATAGGGGTGTAAATCACATCCATCATGGCGATTCGATTCAGTATCAATTTCCTGACCCAACGGTGCAATTATTTTTGATACTCAAGAATACACCACGATATGATTATATTCGATTAATTGGTTGTCTTTTTTTTAACACCTTACAGGCTAGAAAATGAAATTTGAAATAAATCAATGAAAGCTGTAATATCGTTATGCGTTTTTCTTTAGAAACAACAGCAAATAACAGAAGTAGAAAAGTTGTACTCCACCTATTTAAAACCTCCTTCACTAGAAAATAATAATACCCCTGCGTTATAGATTCTGAAAGGCTTTGCTTAAAAATATACTGCACAAAATCAGCGCAATGAGTGCAATTCAATACCTCGGCTCCAGACGTCCCGCCCCCTCCACAGACGCTCCGCTGCTCCTCTCCCAAATTGTAGCTGACAGCAAACAGTGCCGCAGACAGGAGGCCGGCTTGTTTTGTTTTTATGACCGAAATTGCGTAAAACTACTCGTGAAGTTCGACCCACTAGAAGAGCGAGGTGCACGAGAACGCTGGGACCCTTTTTCCACCTGGATCTCCGCTCTTTTTGGCCCTCATGTCGCTCCGTCGTCGGACTAAACTCACCCCCACTTCCTCTCCGCCTCGGCCATATCTAGACCCACAGCGTGTAGCTCAGACCACGCTTCAATACTGAGCATAATTTAAAAATGTCTGCATCAAGCTCACTGCAACACACTGCTGTAAAAGTATAACCAGGAAGCGAGGTAGGAGGGCAAAATAGGTTTAGCGCCACCGCAGCACAGGAGGGAGAATTACATCCAGGAGTAAAATGGATAAAAATAGACTGGAGGAGGAAAAAAACATGAATCGATTCTCTTGCGGACGTATCGATGCATCGGATCGTCGGCTGTTGGATCGATGCATCGATACAAAACAATTATTATTTACACCCCTACCCTCTCCTCACCCCAGTCTCTGCTACATGCCTGACTACTGTGCTTTGTCCGACCTGTTACCTAGAGCTTGTTTACCTTGAAAGACTATAGGAGAGGAATTAAAGGCCCCAACAGTGTCTTTGGAATCATCCAGGCACTGAAATCCCTCCACCACATCAAGGTTCAAGGAGGAGACATCTCAGTCTATGGCCTTAGAAGAGCTCTAAGCAGAGAACAAGTCTTCAGATAATCATAAATATGTTTAGGAGCCTGACCATTGATTGCTCATAATGTTAAAATGGGTCTAAAGATGCACAGGTAACCAGAACAGGAAGGTAAGAACTGGACTCAGTGAAATAAATCTATAATGCCATTTTCCTCCTAATCCTAATTTCATCACATTTGTTTGTTTGCCACCAGCTGAGCTCTGCCCATAATCCCACATAAAACTATTACAGACTAAACATGCAACACAGAACATGGAAAACCTGGGAGCCTTTAAAATGCAGTTAGCTGGACTCTCAGCGCTTCAAAGTCATTATGTGGAGCTCAAAAGATCAAGTCTGGGCTTTACATCCACGCTTGACATGCAAGCACGGGTCACAGCCACTCTGTTGTTTCAGATACTCTCATATTTTCACTAAAAGGGGAATCCATACTTTCTCCAGAGTTCCTTGACAGAAAGGGATTAAACCACACACCCTAACACATGATATGCACCTGCAACAGTCTGGTTTCTAAATTGTTTAAGAAAACCGGAGAACCCAGGCATGCAGCCGAGAACATGCAGGATCTTAGTTAGCACCTTCTTGTTGGAGAGCCAATCTACAACTCAGAAGTTTAATGAAGGTTCTAAGATGTGATGAAGATTTTTATTAGCAGTTACAGTACACGGCTCTATGTTAACCATCGCCCTATCGCCCGGGGCAAGTAGTTTTTATTGACGGGAGAGTACAAATTTTATTGCATTTGCCCGCCGGGAAAGTACAGTGATCACTCAAAATTACTTTAAAATCACAGACATTCGCTGAAAACGACCCATAAGCGTTGCCGGCACCATTTTTGTTGTTTTGTACACATTCTCGCGTGATTTGAAAAAGCCGTGTGATTTTTCGCTAGATGGCG